AATTGTTTCGTTAGCTTAAGTGGTCAAGTCTAATTCAAACTAATTTTGTTTAATCTCTAAGAAGGAGAATTTACCAGGTACTTGTTGCTTAACGATATTATTTTAACTTAAGCACCTCATTTAATAGTTTTTTTTTTTCTTTCTAAATCACCTATGTGTGTTCAATTCTCATGCCCAAAAGGATGACTTTGTATTCCCTTTGATTTTCTTTTTATTTCTCTTTCTTTTCTCTAACTCTCTTCTAGCTCTCAAGAAGAAAGTTTCTCTCTAACTCTCTCTGTCATTCTCTGTCTATCTATCTGTGTCTATCTATCTGTTGCTTTAGCGACTAATTACCTTAGGCAACTAATTGTTTCATTAGCTTAAGTAGCCAAGCTTAACTAAAACTAATCTTGCTTAGACTAAGACAGAGAATTTGCTGAGTTATTTAACGACATTATTTTAACTTAAGCACCTCATTTAAGGTTTTCTAAATCACTCGAGTGTTCAATTCTCAAGTCCAAAAGGATTAATTTGAATTCCCTTATGATTTTCTTCCTATTTCTCTAACTTTCTCTTTTAGCTCTCAAGAAGACAGTTTCTTTTTAACTCTCTCCGCCCTTCTCCATCCTTCTCTCTTTTGTTCTAGAAACTAATTAGCTTAGGCATCTAATTGTTTCAATAGCTTAAGTGGCCAAGTTTAACGAAAGCTAATCTTGCTTAGCCGCTATGAAAGAGAATCTATCGAGAGTACTTGTAGCTTAACGATATTAGTTTAATTTAGGCGGCTCATTTAAGGTTTTCTAAATCATCCAAGTGTGCAATTCTCAAGTCCAAATGGATGAATTTGAATTCCCTTTGATTTCCTTCCTATTTCTCTTTTCTTTTCTCTAACTTTATCTTCTAGCTCTCAAGATGAAAGTTTCTCTCTAACTCTCTCCGTCGTTCTCCATCCATCTCTCTTTTGTTCTAGGAACCAATTAGCTTAGGCAACTAATTGTGTCGTTAGCTTAAGTGGCCAAGTTTAACTCAGACTAATCTTGCTTAGCCTCTAAGAAAGAGAATTTACCGGGTACTTGTAGCTTAACGATATTAGTTTAACTTAAGAACCTCATTTGAGGTTTTCTAAATCGCTCAAGTGTTCAATTATCAAGTCCAAAAGGATGAATTTGAATCCTATTTCTCTTTCTTTTCTCTAACTTTCTCTTCTAACTCTCAAGAAGAAAGGTTGTCTCTAACTCTCTCCGTCCTTCTCCGTCTTTCTTTCTTTTGTTCTAGGAACTTATTACCTTGGGCAACTTAGTTGTTTCATTAGCTTAAATGGTCAAGTTTAAGTCAAACTAATCTTGCTTAGCCTCTAAGAAAGAGAATTTACTGAGTAATTATGGCTTAACGACATTATTTTAGCTTAAGCACCTCATTTAAGGTTTTTTAAATCACCTAATTGTTCAAATCTCAATCGCAAAAGGATGAATTTGAATTCCCCTTGGTTTTCTTCCTATTTCTCATTCTTTTCTCTAACTTTCTCTTCTAGCTCCCGAAAAGAAAGTTTCTATCTAACTCCCTCCATCCTTCTCCATCCTTCTCTTTTGTTCCAGGAACGAATTAGCTTAGGCAACTAATTGTGTCATTAGCTTAAGTGGCCAAGTTTAACTCAAACTAATCTTGCTTAGCCTTTAAGAAAGACAATTTACCGAGTAATTGTAAGTTAACGATATCAGTTTAACTTATGCACCTCATTTAAGGATTTCTAAATCACCTAAGTGTCCAATTGTCAAGTGCAAAGGATGAATTCGAATTCCCTTTGGCTTTCTTCTTATTTCTCACTCTCTTCTTTAATTTTCTATTCTGGCTCTCAAGAAGAAAATTTCTCTCTAACTCTGCCAGCCGCTCTCCATCCATCTCTCTTTTGTTCTAGGAACTAATTAGTTTAAGCAACTTATTGTGTCATTAGCTTAAGTGTCCAAGTTTAACTCAAACTAATCGTGCTTAGCCTCTTAAGAAAGACAATTTACCAAGTAATTGTAGTTTAACGATATTAGTTTAACTTAAGCACCTCATTTAAGGTTTTCTAAATCGCCCACGCGTTTAGTTCTCAAACCGAAAAGGATGAACTTGAATTCACTTTGATTTTCTTTTTCTTTCTCGTTCTTTTCACTGACTTTATCTTCTAGCTCTCAAGAAGAAAGTTTCTCTCTAACTCTCCCTGTCCATCTCCGTCTATCTATCTGTTGTTCTAGGGACTAATTACCTTGGGCAACTAATTGTTACGTTAACTTGAGTAGCCAAGTTTAACTCAAACCCATCTTGCTTAGCCTCTAGCATAGAGAATTTACTGAGTAATTGTAGCTTAAAGTGTTCCTCTCTGTTATTTTTTTTGGGCATTGGAGCTCCTCGGTGTTTCCTTTTTTAATGTTGGTAGCTTGCCTTTTTCCTGTTCCATTTGAATGTCTGTCAGCATGATTATTTGGTCAATTGACCATCTGCTTTTCAAAGTTTCACATTTTTTCTGCCCATTTTATCAACTCATATAATACTTCCAATTAGTTTTTTATTTTTATTTATTGTTATTAATATTTTTTGTTTGTAATTGTTGTTACCTCTTTGTGATTATATAGTTACCTGCTTTGGTGTATCAATAAGAAGTTGAATGAGTTAAATATTTCTGGTATAATTATGCCAATACATTCGCAAGGGGTTGCATGTATTTGTGACATATATATATATTTCTTTATTTATTATTATAATTTTATGCTATTTGTATTAATTCGGTCACTTTAACCTAACTAAAAGCGAGAGATCAACTACTGGAGAGGTCAATTTAAATTACCTAAAACAAAATGACTCTATTTTTGTAATTTTATAAACTTGAGGGGGGTTGGTGTAAATGTCACAAGTTAGGGTTAGGGTTAGGTTCCTCTTCTTCTCATGGTATTCCATTCAACCAGAAGAAAGAAGTGCCTCATCCTCTCCTCTCAGACGTAGATGACGAAGTTACTTCGGCGAATTGCTCCGGTAGTCCAATTACTCCCATCGTCCCCACTCTCATCCCTCCCAAATTTTCTGTCAATCAATAAAGTAATTTTCTCTCTTCAATTTCTGAAATAAATCCACGAAACTTGATTGCAGAACACCCCTGCATGATTTCCAGAACTGTCATGCTGAACCCACCAGTTTATTCTATTTTATTTTTTTATTTTCATTTGAAAGTTTGAATATTGAAGCCCTAAGTTTAATGGTGTATTATCACTACTGTGTATTCGTTTTTTGTGTTTGGTATAATTTTTGTAATTTGATTTGATTTGATTTGATTTCTCTGTGTTTATTCAATTGATGCAATTTAACTGATTATGTGTATTGTGTATTGTTATACCCTGTAGTTGAAGAATTTGATACGGATAGGTAATTGTTTTCTCTGGGGGTAATTGTAATACCTAAATTTTTATTTATGTAATATTTTCAATATATTTATGATGTAATTATGGTATCACGGTTGGAATTGACGTTGTGGATTTTATAGTTGTTTAGTTCATTGATTTTATGAATCCCTCTTTGTCAGTCTAAGTGCCTTTTAATGTTTACACTTGATAATTTCAACTAGTAATTACATAAGTGAATAAAGGAAGATTAATATACTTGACAAAAGTACGAGGACAAAAACATGATTAGTGTACTTGGTTATGCAGATTTGATTTGTTACCCAACTTTCTTGGTGTTTTAATCGTCTTTATCTATTTCACTTTCCTGCACTTCCTCTCTGTCCTAAGCTAGCAATTAATGAATCCCACGGAGTTCATCAAATTCACCATAGACCAGCTGGTTGAAATAATTTCCAATGGCCTAATGTTCTCACTTTTGCAGTATTTTACCTGTAACATTTTAGGAAGTTTTCAACCACATTCAAATACTTGATTACAATCAAATGGGTAGAAGTTGTTAATCGTCTTGAATTTCTGAACAGTAAATTGACAAAATAGTTCCCTGATAAAAATTCCATTTGAATGTCTATCAGCATGATTATTTGGTCAATTGACCATATGCTTTTCAAAGATTTACATTTTTTCTGCCCATTTTATCAACTCATATAATACTTCCAATTAGTTTTTTTTTAATTTTTATTGTTATTAATATTTTTTATTTGTAATTGTTGTTACCTCTTTGTGATTATATAGTTGCCTGCTTTGGTGTATCAATAAGAAGTTGAACGAGTTAAATATTTCTGGTATGATTATGCCAATACATTCGCAAGGGGTTGCATGTATTCGTGACATATATATATATATATTTCTTTATTTATTATTATAATTTTATACTATTTGTATTAATTTGGTCACTTTAACCTAACTAAAAGCAAGAGATCAACTACTGGAGAGGTTAGTGTAAATTTTCTAAAACAAAATGACTCTGTTTTTGTAATTTTATAAACTTGAGGAGGGTTGGTGTAAATGTCACAGGTTAGGGTTAGGGTTAGGGTCTTCTCATGGTATTCCATTCAACCAGAAGAAAGAAGTGCCTCATCCTCTCCTCTCAGACGTAGACAATGAAGTTATTGTATTCGTGATTATGCCAATTAGGGGTGTGCAACAGATTTGCCGGCCCGCCCCATCCACCAGACCCGACCCGACCCGAGGCCCATCGGGCGGATGCGTGACACCTAGTGAAGGGGTGCGGGTCTAGAAATACCAATTTCGCGGGTTCGGGTCGGGTCACCAGTGATCCGCCAATTCTATTGATGTACTCGACCCAGCCGCCCCCCCAACAAATTTCCCCTCTTTTTCACCCAGCATTTGCCCTCCCTTTTTTTCATTTCAGGTTTGAGCCTGTTAGAATTTATCTCCACCTACCACCTCCACTATCACACACTCCACACCTACCACCTCCACTATCACACACTCCACCTACCACCTCCACTTCACTCCTACACCTACTACCACATTTTCTTCTATATATAGGAATTGTAAATATATCAACAATCAATCAATCAGATATCAATCAATAATAATACATCAGTTATTTTACAGAGCCCTAGGTTTCGAGTTCGTCTCTCTCAACTCTCTCTCTCACACACACTTGAACGGAGGTGACGAGAATCGATCGGCGACTGTGTTCTGTGTCTTCTCTTCTCTTCGATGATCGGCTAGCAACAGGTAATCTTCTCCTCTTCTTTTCTTTTCTTGTCTTTGATCAGCGACGATCGGCGACTGTGTTTAGGGCTTCGGCTTCTTGTCTTTGTACAAATCTGCTTATTTTTTTAGGGCTTCTATTAATTAATTAGGGCTTTGTTTGTGAACTATGATGATTTTAATTTCCTAATGTGATGATTTTTTGTTTATTTGATTTTGAACTGTGATGATTTCTGGTATTGAAGGAACTTGATTTTGTAACTGTGTGCTGTGTATTAGTGTTTAAATTTCTGATCAACTTCCTCTAAATTAGTCCAAAAATTAATTTGATTTCTTTGCTATGTATGTGTGTATATGTATAAATATGCTTATATAATTTGTGGATTTTGGTTGCAGATATTTGGGTTTGAGAATACAGATATTCAAATTCCTCTAAATTAGTCCATAACGATCTGATTTCTCTGATATGTATGGATATACGTATATATGTACAAATAGGCTTTTATAATTTGTGGGTTTGGGGTATAGATTTTTGGGTTTGAGCATATAGAGCCCCAAGCTTGAATTCAATGTGATATCTTCAGCTTCCTCTAAATTCATTACCCTCGTCAATGTGATATGTTGAAAATGTTATTTTTTTGAGGAAGTGTACATTTGAATTATGTTGAAAATTCGTAAAATTTTCAACCGCCAAACTGAATCGTATCCATCCGCCAATCCGCCAATCTGCATCCACCGGATTGGCAGACAGATGCAGATTGATTTTCTCCAATTTGCCAATTTGGCGGATGGATGGCGGATTAGGGGTTTCGTGGCCGCAACCGATCCGCGCCCACCCCTAATGCCAATACATTTGCAAGGGGTTGCATGTATTCGTGACATTGGGTGCCATTGATGGTTTTCATTTTAACTTTATTATTTTTAACAGATTTGATAATTAAAAGCTATTTTTTAATTTATTTTTTTCCCTTTCTTTACATTGCAGGTGTGAGGCTGTTGGGAAGAATTTGTTGCTGGTTGCTGTTGCTTGGGAAGAATTTGCTGCTCGTTGTTGATTATTTTGTGCTGCTACTTGCTTCTTCTTTGTGCTTCTGTTATTGTTGAATCTAGACCAAAATGGGTATGAAACTATTCGAGGGCGGCGATGGTTCGGACGAAGATATATCAAAGATTGAAGTCAACAAAGAGTTCGCTCGTCGCTATGAGCACAACAAGAAGCGAGAGGACTTGCAGAAGCTTGAGGCGTTGAAGAAGAAAGGCCTTGTTGAAGACTCCTCAGATAGCAAGTCTGACGACGAAGCATCTTCTGATGAATCAGATGAAGATGAGTTAATTAATCCGAAGAAAGATTTGGAGTTCTTAAATGCGTTGATTAAGGTTAAGAACCAAGACCCAAAACTGAAAAACAAAGAGGCTAAGCTATTCGAGTCCAAAAATGAAGAAGAAGAAGAAGAGCAAGGGAAACGAGAGGAAGGACAACAAGATAAGAAGGGGAAGCCAATGTATTTGAAGGATGTGGCAGCGAGGCACTTGATTGAGGAGGGGCCAGAATTTGAAGAGAAGGTAGACAAGTTGAGAGTGAAGAACTATTCGGAGGAGCAAGAGGAGTTCAGGAGGGCTTTCTTGGAGGTGGCTGAGGAGGCTTTGAATGGTGATGATGATGGAGAATTGTTGAGGTTGAAAGATAGTAAAAGTATGGGGGATGAGGATGATAGTGATGCTGGTGAGGTTCAGAAGAAATTGGATGAGTATTTTGGCAAAGATGACCATTTGAATGAGAATGAAATGTTTTTGAAGAAGTATTTTAGGAACAAGATGTGGGTTGATGAGGGTAAGGGCAAGAAGGCATTGGATGATGTGGTTTCAGATTTTTCAGAGGATGAGGAGGAAATTGAGAAGCAAGAGGATTATGAAAGGGAGTATAATTTTAGGTTTGAGGAGAATGCGGGGGATAGGGTGTTGGGTCATTCACGGTTTGTAGAGGGATCAGTGAGGAAGAAAACTAATGCTCGGAAGTTGCAGAGGAAGAGCAAGGAGGAGAGGATGGCACAAGCTGAATTCGAAAGGAAGGAGGAATTGAAGCATTTGAAGAATTTGAAGAAGAAAGAAATGAGGGAGAAACTTAGGAAGATAAGGGATACTGCGGGGATTGATGAAAATTGGGTTTGCCTATTGGATGAGGATGATCTGGAAGAGGAATTTGATCCCGAGGAGCATGATAGAAAGATGAAAGAAGCATTTAATGATGATTACTATGATGCGGATGATGCAGACACTGAGTTTGGGAGTGATAGGGATGAAGATGGTGATGAGTTTGAAAAACCAGATTTTGATAAAGAAGATGAGTTGCTTGGACTTCCAAAAGGTTGGGATGATACGTCTGTTTCTGGTGATGGGTTCTTAGCTGCAAGGGAACGAAACTTAAAGCGCAGGGCAAAAAATGAAGGTCACCATGAACAGATAGAAGAAGAAGTGCCTGAAGAGGATAAGAGGAAGAAAAAGCCAAAAGTTTCTAAGCTGGAGAAGGAAATCCTTGATAAAGAATTGGAGGAGTACTATAAATTGGACTACGAGGATACAATAGGGGACTTGAAGACAAGGTTTAAGTACAGAGATGTTGGTGCTAAAGGATATGGACTAACTACTGAGGAGATTTTAATGCTGGATGAGAAGGAGTTGAACCAGTATGTTTCCTTGAAGAAACTTGCTCCTTATAGGGAGAAGGAATGGAAGGTGCCCAGAAATCAGGTGTTGAACCAAAAACAGAGGAATAAGCTGCTTCTTCAAGGCAAGATATTGAATGACAAGAAAATTGGTAAGAACTTGAAAATTGATGATAAGAAATCAACTACAGTGGCAGTTTACAAGGAAAAGGAGAAAGCACAAGTGAAGGAATCAAATGGTGATATGAGCAATCTATCTAGGCGAAGCAAGAGAAGGCATCGTCAGGCTGAACTTAAACTATCAACATCGAGGCTTATGGCATATGGAAAAATCCCCTCCAAATCTAAGAGTAAAAAGAAGCACTGAACATTACCCATGGTTGAGGCAGAGGTCCTATAGAAGGTAATCTCTTGCAAGAACTTGTTTGTGGTTGTCACGATATGCCCTTTTTTCTTCTTCCCTCCTCCCCTTCTTTCGTGGCTTTTGTGAATACATCTTCATCTACTGTTGTTTTCCGAGTATCAAAGAACATAATGTTTGTATTCTTTAAATGTTGAAAATCCTAAATGCCCAAAAGAATGTGCAATCTCTAGATATTATTTTCTCTGTTTTTCTTGTTTGTTTGATTGTCATATTACCCATGTTGATTGTCATTGTTTAAGAAGTATCAAGCAGGAAATTGAGGTAGGTAGAAATGTTCATCTGTTCAAGATTTTTTTTTTCTTTCCTTAGAAGGATAAATTACAAATACCTTTTATAAAATTTACAACTGACTTCCTCACATTCTGAAAATTACATTTCACTTTGAGGTTTCATTAAGTCAACTACTGGATTTTGATGACTGTCAACATAAAAAAATTTCACAATACCAATTTAAACCTGAATAACTCAAATTGAACGCCAGTAAACCCATACCTCAACCCGATCCGCAACCCTAAAATAATAAGATGCTGTGATGTGGGAAAAATAAAAAGTAGAGGGAGGTAAGAGGGCCGGGCTTGATGGTTGATGGTGATACGTTAATTGCTCGGTGTGGTGCTTTCTTGATGGTCTCTTGCTTTGTGTGTGGAATCCTTCTCTTGTGATTCGTCTGTTGAACTTTTTAAAAATTTTTTTTTTGGGTGGTAAACTTGTGGTTATTTGGAGGATGGTTGATTTGGTTGGTTGCAATGGTGAACATGGTCTTGGTTGATGGTTGATTTGGTGGTGGGGGAGGCCGAGGTTTGGTTGATTGAGGGTGGGGGTGGCGGGGGAAGGTTGAATGAGGGTGAGGGTGATGTGGTGGTTAGGATGCACTGAAGGGAACATTAGGATCTCATGTTACTAGAAAGAACATATTACTTATGCAAGAATTTCTGGATATGTTGAACAATATGATATACATTCCCTGCAAGTAACAGTTTTTTGAGTCTCTGTCGTATATCTGAGAAATGTTACTGCTATATAAATGGTAGTTATGTTTTAGTGTTATAACAAGTGATATTTACAAAGGATGTGTTTTTTTACTAGTGAATGATGAATTGGTAATTTTTTAATCTGCAGGTGTTCGATGTAAGTGCTGCTAATTACAAGTCAGATGGCATGAGTAACTTCTAATAGAGATAATTGGTGGATCGGTGAGTGGCATAAGTATGCCTTTAACTAATTTTAGGAGTTGTCTCAGGAGAGAATGAAGTTGAGTTGGAATATATCGGAAAATTTTTGGTCGGTGGTCTTGTTTTATTGTTTCCTTTTTCTTTATCTTCAGTTGTCAAGTGTTAGATTTGTTGTAATTCGTCGTGTCCTCTAGTTAGGCCACGACACTTGATGGTTATTTAGCTTTTGTGGTTATGATGTTTTTTAGATGGATGCAACACTTTTCTAGCTTTGTAATGTTTTACAAACATCTCAAATGAATTCAGGATATATTTGAAGAAATTCCAGTTGGACATTTTTGTGATAATATAGAACTAGTAATTATATAGTATACAAAACATGGGAAGTGTAAGTCACTTGTTATTATTAGATCACTTATTGTGCAAACAATTTATAAAATCAAGTTTTTATAAAAATGTGTAAGTTAAAATTTTGAAATTTACAAAATTACAAAATTTTTGCACAGTTATATAATACATACAGTGATCATCTTCGAAGACCAAAAGGCGACCCGGAACGAACGAGAAGCTTCAAGGGCTTATGTCGAGAGAGGTAACCCTAATTCTCTATTTATCTCTCTCTACAAGTCCAACTGGTTTTATTTCTCAACATTGTGCTTTTGTAGTTGTTTGATTGATCTAAATACTGATCTCTCTGTCTTCAAATGATATCGATTCTTTGAATCTAGGGTTCTGTTAATCAGAATATTGTATAAGTTAACAAATCTGGATTTATTAATCCTTTAATTGGGTGTTTCGTTTGAAAAGTTTGTTTAGATTGCAATCATTCTTATATAATAAATTTTAAGTGATAATTTTTGTTATAATTAGGATTTTATTTAAATAATATTTATCTTGTAGCATGAATTGGATGGCAGTTATTCACAATTGACTATATTTAGGGCTTGTTTGATTGGCAGGATTAATGGTAAGGGGTGTAGGATTAACAATTTATGAGATTAGTGTAAGATTGGTTATTCAGTTGGATTAGTGAGATATCACGCTTGTTTTGCAATATATATGAAAATATATAATCTCAGTCAATTTTGTAGGGTTGAATGGCTATTGGAATCTAATCCGAATAATAAAATTTGTATCTAAGCAATGGAATGTGAGTCCCATACAGTAATAATCCCAATCCTATGCTATAATCCGCCAAATCAAACAAACCGTTAGGGTTTCAATATGCTAACCCAGCTGAGTTGAAAACTCAATTACAAATAAAAGTCGACAATGTAAGCCTTATTGGATGATGGGACACCTAATTGATTTGCTACCATACTGGGAAAAATCACTTAAGTTATTGATAGTAGGAATAACTTCTGATGCCAGAGTTGATAATTGTTTTTATCGGTTCAAAAATTCGTAAAAATAATTGTAAATCCAGAAGTGGGTTTTGGACTGGCCGTAAGAGTGAGCTGAATTCAAGCCTTGTCGAGTTGGCTAATGTTGATAAGCTTCTTCTTGTTTAGCTTATGCTGTGATCGGGTTTGAGATTTGATTCAATTGGGTATAATGTCCGACTTGTGTGTCTTAGAATGGGCTCCAAAATGATACTGATATTGTAAACACTTGCCCTTGCTTGTAATGGTAGATGTTAAGTTTAGAATTGTGATAAGGCAAAACAAGCCTTGTGGTGGCTATACTTGGTTGATTCTGATTGTGATTTTTTTTTTTCATAAGACAAACCAGCCTTGTGTCTTACCCTGCAAAGATTGGTGAAATTATTGTCCTTTCTATGAGCTAGTGTTGGCTATACTTGGCTGATTTTGATCGTTTTTTTCCCCCCTTATTTTTTTTAATACATTCACCTTTCTTTATTTTTTTCATTTCCTTTTCTGTTGTTTTCATTGTTTTTTCTCTCTTTTTTTTTTTTCGTTGTACGTCTTTCTGCTAACTTATCCTCCCCCCCCCCTCCTTTATCTATGAAGTCTCCTTGTTTTTGATGATTTCAAGTACTCTTTTGTTTTACTTTTATTTTGCCACATACAGTTATTTCTTTGTAGATATGAGGCTTCATTAATTTAGCTAGAAACCTGGGAAAGAAATTCAAGACAATAGAGGGCCTTCTCCTTAATGAAATCATGCTTTTGTCTTTATTGTGTCTACTGATATTTGTGTTATTGGTGACCAGAGAATGCTAGTTCTTTGTTATCTGATGCTTGCAATGTCATTAAAAGGTTGTCCATAGAGCTTTTTTCTTTTAAGTGTTTTATTGCCAAAACAATGGTCTAAATCTTGTAAGGCAATATGTTCTTTAAGGCTGTGTTTGGATCGTTGATTTGAGTAGTAATTTGTGGAGGGAAAGGAAAAGAGAAGTGAAAAGTTCCAAAAATACTCAAATCTAATGATCCAAACACACCCTAAATAATTTGTACGGCTAACATTAATATATTTGTCTTCACATCGAGTTGCAAAAAAGGGGCCATGGAGTTTTTCAATATTGTTTCCTTTTGTTGTTTTTCCTTCTGTAATTTTTTAATTTTCTGGTTGGGTGGGAGGGATTGCCATGGTTGTAATTCACATCCTCAGACCCTATAACCTGGTACTCTCGTCCACTGGGACTGCCCTTTTTGTTCACTAAATTTATTCTTCGGTTGGAATTTTTTTCCGCAAACTGTATTTTTGATTTTATATATGCCCTCAGGTGTTGTGAAATCCAAGCGATCCATATGGAGGTTGAGAACAATCACTGATTTCGTCTGGGCCATTGTTAACTTCATTGGTGTGTTCTTTGCAACAATGTTTTTGGTAAGCTGATTTCAATACTTCTTTTCCTCCCTAGCTCAGATGTCAGATACTCATCTTCTCCGAACCTTCAATGCTTTCAGATGGAAAAATCAGATGCTTATAAAAAAGGCTCAGGCTCTGGGAAGAAATGGGATGGTGGAGGTCCAGGTGGTCCTGGAAGCGGCGGCCCATATGGTGGTGGTTCACGTGGTCCATCTCGTGGATTAGACAACGTTCGTGGAATTGATCATAGTGAGTCTTTGTTTTTCCTTTTTGGTTGTATTTATAATGTTCTCTTTTACTTATGTAAAAAATTGAGGCTCTATTTGGTAGAGCTTTAGAAAGTTAATTCCACCAAACGGTTTGAGTGTGGTGTTTGGTGAGAGCTTTCAAAAATTGATTTCACACCCACAGTTGAAAACACGTCTACCCGGTCATCCTCTCGAACGTCTGGCCGATTGACTGGAACAGCGTTCTTTTTTTTTTTTTTTTTTTTTTTTTGGCACCTGTTATTTTTATATTTCAAATAAAAAATATTTTCAATTTTTTTTTTTAAATTTTTTATGAGCTTTGAATAGAATTTTGGATTTTATGTTCATATGTCACATCAAAAATTTTAAACTCAATTCAAAACTCTTTTCAAAACTCATAACCAAACAAAATTGAGACTTTTCCCATATTAAGCCAATTTACTATCTTAATTCCCAAACTAGGTCTAGTTTGGACGGAATTCCCAAATTAGGCTAAAGCGCTATTACAAATCACGCTTTCACTGTTTGGAGCAGAAAAATTGATAAATAGTAAAAGCGCTATTACAAACCACGCTTTTAACATAAATTTGTTTTTTTTGAAGAAAACGTGGTATTGTTTGAATTTTGTTTTCTGAAGAAAATGTGGTTCCAAACCATGCTTTCACTGTGCATATTGTTTTTTTAAGAAAACGTGATTCACAATCACACTTTCATTGTTGATAAATGAAAGCATGGATTGAAACCCCGCTTTTACAACTTATATAAACAACCCCCAAGCCCTCTCATTTGCAAACACGTTTTTTATACTTAGGTTTTTCTCAGACTCTCGCTCTCGCTCTCCCCTCGGCTCTGCTCTCACTCTTGCTCTCGCTCTCCCTCTGCGCTCAGACTCTCACTCTTGCTCTCGCTCTCACTCTCTGTCTCTGCTCTGTCTCTGTCCGTGGTATGGCATCTATCTCTCTCTATCTCATTTGAATTTTATGTGTTTATTGTAATTGTTAAAATGTGAATGTGTGGTTTTGAATTGTGAAAATTTTGTAGGGTTTTCAATTGAATGTGAAATCATAAATTATGAAATTAGAAATTAGGGTTATGAAATTATAAATGTGTTAGGGTTTTCAATTATGAAATGTGTGGTTATGAAATTATGAAATCATAAATTATGCTTGTCTTGGGGTTTTGAATTGTATGTGTTAGGGTTTTGAAATTATGAAATCATAAATTGTATGTGTTAGGGTTTTGAATTATGAAATGTGTTAGGGTTTTAAATGTGTGGTTATGAAATTATGAAATCATAAAATGCTAGGGTTTTGAATTGTGAAATCAGAAATTATGCTTGTGGTTTCAGAAATTAGGGTTTTGAATTCTGAATCGTGTCTATATTTTTTGCATTTTGAATTGTGAATCCTGTTTATATTTTTTGAAATTAGGGTTTGGAATTTTGAATTGTGAATTTTGAATTTTGAATTGGAAATTATATTTTTTGCTTGTTAATAAAAGGAATTGAGAATTGAGAATTGAGAATTGAAAATTGAAATTTATATTATGAAATTCAAAACCCTAATTGAGAATTGAGAATTGAAATTCATATTGTGAATTCAAAACCCTAATTCATATTATGAGAATTGACAATTGAGATTTGAAATTCATATTATGAAATTCATATTTTGCTTCTTATTTTTTGCTTGTTAATTGAGAATTGACAATTGAAATTCATATTATGAAATTCATGAATTGAGAATTAAGGTGGACTGGCAATTTCAATTCGAGGTCCACATGCTTACATAGATATGATCATTTTGTTTCAGAAAATAAAACTGTAAACTGTATGATTGAATTCAAAATCTGAAAATTGAAATGAATCTGAAAAATTCAAAAGTTGAGAGATTTGAAAAAAAATAAATAAATGAATTTAGTGCATAACTGCCCATGTAACTGATATAGGGGTATTTTTGAAAAATCCAAAATATGAGACATAAACACCCAGAGAATACTTCTTTTTATAATAGTACTAGATATATATAAACCTTTATTTAGTGTTTCACCTTTATTCAGTGTTTAGAAATTGGATTAAAATCAAGACTAAAATAGTCAATTTATTATTCTCAAAGTAATTAAGGGATTAGTGTGAGTGATCTATTTCCTTTTGAATGAATTATTTTGCATTTGATTTTGGTCTAATCTCTTCATAGATATTATCTGTTGCACTTAATTCATGCATTGTGTAAAATTAAAGGATAAAAGTTGATGCAATTAGAGCTTCAAGAATCAAATTGATTTGAGACAAGAAGCAAACTGCACGACTAGGGATTCAATTTGCCTTTTATTACAAATGAAAATCATCTACATTGTTTTTAGGGAAAAGATCCGCATCAAACCCAAAAATTATCTACAAATGAAAATTATTACAAATGAAAATCATCTACAAATGAAAATTATCTATTTACAATTAATTATACCGAAACAGATTGTGTTATGCACCTCTTTAAAGAAATTGACGATTCTCTTAGTATAGAATAGCAATCAACGCAATGCCAAAAATGTAAGAAACTAGACTTCTAAGCAGTTCTAATGACGCTGATTTGAGATTTTCCGGATTTATACCCAAAGAGAACAATACTTCCGAAATTACTGTTTAACACCAATTTTCTGGACATATTTGAATGCACTAAAATTGCTTTACCTTTATTAAAAGAAGGAATTGTGTCAATTCCTTGAGTGTTAGTAGAAAATTAGTAGGTGTTACAAGTGCACCACATGACAATGTTATCTACTAATCACCAAGCATTATACCTTATGCCTTAATACAAAATTGTAGGCCCCACCTCCCCATCAATCATAAATATTTTGAAAATCACCTAACTATGTCTCAAAAGTACTAGCTATTTTCTCTTATTCAAATAGTATTGCTGATGTAGAATTTTAATTTTGTTTGTTTGTTTTTTTTTTTTTTCAAAACTTACATATTTCATAATTTTTATTATACACTTATTTTTTATAAAATATATATTTTTGGAGTCTACACAATGAGATTTATCAAACATGACCAATATTGAATTTAAAATTTAATAAAAATAAAATATTATTTTTTTTTTTGTTTTACAAAACTAACAATTTCTCAGTTTGCGAAATTATTTAATAAAACTGAGAAAATTATCTAATTATCTAATAGAAAACCCAAAACAGAGAAGACTTTTTTTTATAATACTACTAGATATATATACACCTTTATTCAGTATTTCACTTGGTAATATCAATGTGGGGTTGTATACTTGAATCAGTTGTCTATTATACTATATTAGAAATGGTATTTGTCACTTGATTTATTTCACTATACTATTTTACCCTCTAAGTGTATTTATTCAATTCAAGACATTGTGCATATTTAATAAAGGGCAAATTTCACTTCAATGTGCATGTGCAAACTACCCATATAATTTGAAAATAACTGTAATGTTCTTGTGGTTTGTGGACTAAATGAAGTATACCGTCAGATGTTCAATCCAAGTTAACATCAAGTGTGAAACATGTGCTAGGTCATTAGGGGGTTATGTTCTTATTTTCAAATATCTGAGGTAAATCACACGTGGAGTAAACCAAAGGGGGTTAAAGTCAATTTTATCTTTCAAAAAAATGACAAATATGAATTACAATTAAAAATACTAAGTTTATGGAAAGATGAACGTTTTTTCCTAAGTTAAATTTCATGAAACTAATCTCTACTAAATGAAATTATTCAAAAAAAAAAATATTTAATTTTGACTCTATTTTATTCAAAAAAAATATTTTTATTAACTTCAAAATAATAAATGAAAAGATCATGTTCTCTCAAATAAAAGATAAAATGACTATATTAACCTGAAAATACTATTTTACGTATTTTCTTTATTTAATTGTGTAGGTTACATAAGAGATTTAAATATTTCTGGCATCCTTTAATGAAAATAAAATTGAAATTTGTAACTAATTATCTATTAAATGGGTTATCTGTGTCAATTTCATATTATGCAGGTTTGACATAACCCTATTTATTTATCATGTTATTACATAGTGTCATATTTGTGTTTGTGTTGAAAATGTTCAACCCTAACCTTTAACTTCGTGTATGAATCATGTTCTGTTAGAAATTCCCACATGTAATAGAATCAAAGTAGATTCAAGTGGAGTGCCTTTGGCATATTATGTGATCAATGATGCTAACAAAATTGACGTTGTTAATTTATAAAACAATTGTAAGACCAGTGATACTTTGCAGTTCACATAATATTGGACGATTAAGAAACAAGAAGCTCATGAAATGAGTGTAGTTAAGATGAGAATGCTTAGGTGGGTGTTTGGTAAGTTTTGGACAGAGAGAAATAGAAATGAATATACATTAAATGGTAGGAGTAACACAAATTGAAAATATGTTGAGAGAGAACAAACTAAGATGGTTTGGTATGTACAATGAAGACTAGCAGATGAAATGGTAGAGAAGAATGTGATAGGATCACCGTAAAAGGAAATATTAGGGGAAGACGTAAATTCACTTGGGATGTGATAGTAAAAAAATTAAACGAATTTATTTAATTTAACCGAGCGTATAGCTTTTAATAGTACGAAATGACGAAAAAAGGATTAACGTGTCGTAGCCCACTTGATTGGGACATAAAGCTTTGTTTGGTTTAGTTTCGTTTGGTTTCACTGTATTTGGGGTCAGGCACCCAAAATATTATAAAAAATTCTTAAGATTTATTTTCATTTGGGTTTCGCTAAAGGTTTCCACGTAGTTGTTAACTATGCAAATCCATACTTTAGGACATAGCTTATTGCAGGTGTCTGCATATAAAAACATAAGTACTTGTAAATTGTATGTTAGACCAGATTGCACTCTGCCCCTCCAAGCTAACCAACAAAATAAACTGAATTTTGGGAGGTGCCACATTCTTCCACAATCATTTGGAAAATCAAACCAAACAATTTATTTTTGTCAAATTTATTTATATTTTTTCAAAAAAAAATCAAAAAATAATTTAAAAAATCAAACCAAACCGCTATATCATGTATTATTTTTAATATACATTCAATAAAATTAATAATTTTTATAAAAAATATTAACTTTGATATTAGAATAATTTGAAGACATTTCATCATAAAATACTAACATTTAATTTTATAATCTTGTAATGAGTTATTTTAAAAAATTTAATGAGCTGAATTTGTAATACATATAATAGCATTATAGTAGAAATTAAAATTGCTGACACATGAGATTGACAATGAAAAAAATAATAATTTCATACAAAACTTACACTATGATTTAAGATGTTTGTTTGACTTGTCCAATTTTGTTCAATCTCACTGAATAAGAAAAATACTTGATAGAATGAAGTGTTTTTTTAAATGTGTGATATATCTGTCTACTTTATGAAAATACTAAAAAATAGATCAATATTTATGAAAAGAAAACAAAATAAGTGTTTTTAAAATTGGTCCCGCTTACATGCGTACGATTAAATCATTGCCTAAATTAACGGTTCTGTAGTCATTATTATTATTTATTTATTTTGAGTGAATGTCTTTTAAAAATTGATCATATTGAGGGAGGGAAGCTATTGTCGCAATGGTAAGGTTGTTTTATTATGCTGATAATAATATAAAATAAAATAAATCTATTGTAATTCGAGTGTTATGGATTCAAATCATAGAAATAATGGGCTTGTTTGGTTTGTTTGTCATATAAAATTTTGGAAAAATTTCTCTACAAACAAATTTTCAAGAGTAATCAAACTAAACAAATTTTTTCAAAAAAAATCTCAAAATTTTGTTTGGTTACCTACTTTTCAAATTAACTTTCTCTCCCATACACATCAAATCAATCACTTTTGAGTCCCACAACTTCCTTTCACCAAATGTCCGCCTAAACAAATTCAAATAACGAACACAAAAATAAAAGCAGGTTAATTTACAAAAATCAAATCAACACTGAAATGTTATCAAAACAAAGAAGAAGAAACATAGAAAAAGAAATATTTACATTTACCGTGCACAAGAGCATGATGTTAATCGTAATAAATAATGAAAAAAGCAGAACACAGGAGTTCCATAGTTTGTTATGTCCAAACAAACCAACATTCTTTATGTGTTGTAAGCTTTTGTTCTTAAAATGCTAAAAAATCCAAAACATAAGGTTTATTTTAACTCATATTTTAATTAAAAAATGAATAACTACTGTTGGATTACAATTACTGATTACTTAAATAAAGTTATTACCTCCTAAGTAATTGTAATTGAATGATTTAAAATTCATATAATTATTTTAGAAGTAAAATTCAATATATGTATATTGTTGATATTTTAATGTTTATTGTTTCATTGAAGCAAGTATATGGCAATTGTTCCAATTATCTTCTACTGGGGGGAAACATAATTCGGGATCCTGATTAAGGTGTGTCATATGATGCTGAGCTGAAAGGGATATATGGGGTGCAACTTGGCACCACACTTAGCAATTTGGAGGAGATGTTCATGTCCAAGGTGGCAAGTTATGGGAAAACTGTTCGATTGATCTTCAAATGTAGATATCCATATTGCTAGTGGCAAGCAACTAGCAAATACAAAATATTACCGATCAATGACGATGAGGTGTTGAACACCGTATTAAGTATCGGTGGAAGTTTCCAACCGCCAAATTGTTTGGAAGTGTACATTGATAAAGATGTTGTACACAATGTCCCGAATATGACACAAATGGAAAGTTCAAATTCGTTCACTACATTGCTGACACATGGGATTGACACAACAGCGTTTCAGTCTCTTATGTATGAATCAAATGAATGTTATGTAGTGGGCTACACACAACAGACATTTCAGGGCCATGGTGTAGAATCTAGTTCACGTGGTGGATATGAGACTGAATTTCACAATAACACAGAAGATGTGCCCACCTACAGCCATTATACCACTCCAGTTGAAGTTGCTAGTAATATGGCTGAAACGGTGAATTATGTGTAATTTGCTGACAGTGACATGTACGGTCCTGATGTCGCCCTAGACAATGATGAGAATGAAATGTGTGATGAAGAAAATTTATTGGGCGGATCAGATGATGACGATGAAGAAGATGATGCCGACGCTCCCGTTGACCTTGACAATGGCCCCATTCCACCTAGACCTGAAATCTCTTTCTATGAAAACATCCACATGGGTTGTGACTTTGACATTAGTAACCGCGATGTCGTTCCCCGTAATCGAATCTGGAACGCTGAAAATCCAGAGTTGGGCAAATGGATGGTTTTCGTTGATAAGAAGCAACTCGTAAATGCTGTGAAATTGTACCATGCAACAAATAATCGAGAGTATAAAGTTGTAACCTCCAAGCGAGACGTTTGGGTGTGTGCTTGTAAGCACGATTGCAGCTGGTTGTTGCGTGCATCTCTTAGTAGGAAACATGGTCTTTTTGAAATAAAGTAGTATAGGTGTCCTCACCATTGTTTATACCCACGAATAAACAGGGACCACACTAATATTAGCTCCAGTTACATTGCTACTTATCTTTTGGGACAAGTTGCGGTGAGTATACAAAATAAATGTTTACATATATATACATATTTGTTTGTTTATAGTGTTCACATCAAAATAATCTGACTCATAGGTATTGTCGTATGCAGAATGAACCTGATATGCCAATTAAGAATGTCATCAAAGATATCAAAAAGACCATGAACTATATATAGTATATCATACAAGAAGGCGTGGCATGTAAGGGCAAAGGCAATTAGAATGGTATTCGGGGATTGGGATGAATCATATAGGTTGTTGCCTAAATTCATGCATGCATTACAAACATCTAATCCTGGCACCATCGTGCAATGGGAGCATAGATATACCGGAGGTACAACCATTATGCCCATCTTCCACTTTGTTTTCTGGTCTTTCAAACCCGTCATCGATGGATTCAGATATTGTAGGCCTGTTATAACCATAGATGGTACATTCTTATATGGGAAATACACTGGTGTGTTGCTTGTAGCAACGATTGTCACTGCCAATGGCAAAGTATTATCGCTTGCATTCGCTGTTGTCGACAGGGAGAGTTTGGAGTTTTGGTAATTCTTCATTTCAAATATCAAGGAACATATTGTCATGGACTGACAGGGAGTGGCTTTGATATCTGGTCGAGCTGAGAGTATTTTAGCTACTATGAGGCGGCATTGGCTGAATCCCTCACTCCAATTTGTTGGATATCATCTGCACTGCTTTCGACATGTTTGTAGTAACTTTAATACTAGGTTAAAAAATAAGGAGCTGAAACAACTTCTATGGAAAGTAGGGAGTGCTCATCAATGACGAAAGTGTAATGGTTACTTAGAACAGATACAGGCTATTAACCAAGATGCCATCAATTGGGTTCACAAGATGAATCTTGTGGAGTGGGCCCTTGCGTATGACAGTGGATATCGGTGGAGGGTATTGACCAGCTATGATGCAGAGTGCTTCAATAGCTTCTTGAAAGGTGCAAGGAACTTACCTATCTCAGCTATGGTTGAATTTACATTTTGGCGGCTCGTAAAATATTTTGACGAGATGGGAGCACAAGCTGAAATAGATGTACGAAATGAGTTCCAATACCCTAGAGAGATGCAAAAAACTATTGAAGATGGCATCGCAAGGGCAAATACTTTCAAGTTGATATCGTATGACAGGTTAGTTTGTAATATAAACTAAATTGTTCTTATTATGTTGTGAAGTTAAGTACACCTAACAAACATGTACTTGATTAGTTTATATTACAATTTTCTGATAGGCCCCGCCGCGTATTTGAGGTTCAAACATCTTTTCGCCATGGACGAGGTCGCAATACACAAATTGTGCGGATGAATCAACCCACATGCAGTTGTGGGAAATATGAGATAAGACACTATCGATGTTCCCATATGCTCGCTGTAATGTCTGAATGCGGTGACAATCCATTCGAGTACGTTGATCTAGTATATAGGCTTCCTGTATACATGAGGATTTGGGAAACTAAATTCAATCTAATACCGCATCAAGATTATTGGGATGATCTGCGGTGGACCTTAATGCATAATGTATTTTGTCTGCGAGAAGTAAAACGGGGTCGTACATCTATATCTCGTATTCCGAATGAGATGGATATATCAGATGTGCGTTTGACCGCTCGTTGCAGTGAGTGCCAGTAGACAGGTTATGACAGGCGAACATGTCCGGCGCGACTTGGTCGATGAAGACTATGTAATACTTACATATTTTAATAGATCATTTTTTAATTCTTTATTTGTAATAAATCATTTAATTCTTTATTTTTTAATTCTTTATTTGTAAATGGGGTCGTATATTTAAATAGATCATTTTTTATTTGTAATAGATCATTTCTAATTTTTAATTCTTTATATATTGTAATTGTTTGATTTCCTTGAAAAAATTTACAACTAACATACTAAACAAATAAATTAAACTAAATATGTATACAAAAACATTTAACTATACCACATAGGCCTATATTTTTTATTCTCTACTTGATTGAAAATGTCTATTACAAAATTTTAGTGAAAATCACATAGTTCTTCTATCATTTTAAAATTTATTATTTATGAATAAATTTAATATTTTCGAATGCTGCAAGCATTTTTTACATTTACAATTTATGAATCAGATCTACGTAATTTACAAATTTTATACTTTATTGGAACTTTTACCATTACAAAATCAATAGTGAAGTTTTGTCAAATATGCCATAAATGTAATTAGCAACCTCTTATTGGCGAAAAAATTCTCATTAAATTTTTTCGCAAATATTTATGTAGGAAAACTATCCACATGTTACCGGTCATTATTAAGCTTATGTAACTGAGACCCTAAAATTATTTTGTAAAAGATTTCTATATTAGTTATAACATAGATAACAGTAGGTTCTGCTGAATTGCTTATCATATTTAATGGCACATAAATTGATAAATTTAGATTTTAGTGAATTGCTTCCATGTTAGTGGCACACAAATTGATAATTTTAGATTAATCGACCACATTTGTTTTTCAAGTCGTCATGCATGGAATAATTAGAGTTTAATTGTTATAGTTAAATTACATGCTCACCAATACGGTTTTTTTAAATAAAAATTAATTACATTTTAGTGAATTGCTTTCATATATGGTGTCACACAAATATAAATTTGTAAATAGTTGAGCATACTTTTCTTTTACAAATCGTAATTTATGGAATAATTACAGTTTCCATGTTATGATTAAATGAAACTTTTATTGTTATGATCTAGTATTACACTTGTACAGGTTTCATGGCACATCTACCTGATGAGATCCCACTTTTTAGTCATCCACATTGGGCTGACAGTATATGGGAGGATCCGGTATGCAATAACGTTTGTTGGACTTTACGCTTACAATGAAAATGCCCTGCATTTTATTTTATATTACGCGATAATGCTATAATTTAAACTAGTCCTTCTGTCATGCAGGACGAGGCACGCACCGTGGTGACATGCCGGCGAGGAGATACCGGCCTGTGGGAGCGTCCATTGGACCATAGAGTCTTGCAGTGTCTATTACGCGCGGGATTCTATGGTGTCTATCGTATAGGCCATATTAGACTGGACCACCCACTCATCACTGCTCTTGTCGAGAGGTGGCGCACAGAGATACATTTCATTTCCCGATCGGGGAGGCCACCGTCACATTGCAGGACGTATCTGTCTTATATGGTCTACGGATTGATAGGCGAGCAGTTACTGGAGCTGACCCATCATTGATGAGGGACCAGTGGATAGCCCTATGTGCTGAGTTATTGAGAGTAGCACCTACACCTGCAGACTTACAAGCAGGTAGACTGAGGGTGAGGTGGCTGCCCGAGCAGTTTCAGGGCCATCTTCCAGATCAGGCTCCAGATGAGTTAGTATTGCAGCATGCTCGAGCATACATTCTGTCGCTTATTGAGGGGGTACTTCTCCCTGATAAATCACAGAACCTGCTTAAGCTGATGTACTTGCCATTGTTGAGAGACATTGTCGCGATCGGCCAGTACAGCTGGGGCGCCGCGGCTTTGGTATACTTGTATAGGACGCTATGTCGAGCATCTCAGGTGGGTGCGAAGGAGATCGGAGGACTCCTTGTCTTGCTACAGGTTAGTAAGAATTTTATAACATGTCAATTCATATTGTATGGCATATATCAGTATTGTAATTGCGTTCAAACTATTGTAGATTTGGGCGTGGGAGAGATTGATTCACATTGCCCCGTCTAGGCAGCAAGTGGTTGCTCCTGGTGAGGTTCCCATCAGCCAGGGAGACATGCAGTTGCCAGCCAGACCTCGAGGTAGTCGGTGGAGGGTTGACATGGGCCACGAGGTCATATCGACCCACGTAGCCGTCGTGTATAGAGACCAGCTTGACCGGATGATAGAGGGCAAGGTATGAAATTTAAGTACTTCAATTTTAATTTTCATATGGAGTGTATAAGTTCATGAGCGATTTTTAATAGACTTGTCGTTATTGTAATTTATCTGGCAGCCTTATGTTGGGGTCCTCAGTACGCTCCCAGACTATTGCTGACTAGGTGAGGAGATATGGATGGCGAGAGTGCCACTCATTTGTTTTGATGTGGGTGAGTGGCATCTCCCTGATCGTGTCCTCCGACAGTTTGGTCGGGTCCAGTCCGTGTCGGATTGGTGTGACACCGAGTGGCGGTTGCATGCGACTGATAGACGTGGCCGACCCGGCACTGACTGGAGTCTGTTTCATATGCGATATATACAACTGTGGGATGCCCGTCGCGACAGTATTGTACAGGCTGACTGGAGCGATGAGGTCCTCCACTTTTCCGACCCTTACATGTTGTGGTATCGGCGACATACACACCTACTAGTCGGTAATTCGAGCCATCTGTCTGAGTCCGGATATCAGGGACTTGGGCCTTCTCTTGAGACATTGGTGAGTATCATAGCAGATAATTGTTAAGATCATAATTGATTTACTTTCAATCAACTATAGCCTAATACGTCTGAATTTTTATTCAGGTGGTTCGAGTTGGGAGGTCATATCACTTGGCTGAGGACGCCCTTTTCAGACGTGATGGACAACATGCGATGCAGGCCCTTGTAGAGATCCGAGAGTTATTGTACGAGGGGATCCAGCATGCCCATCGGGTAGATCGTCTGCATTTTGGCCACTACGGTGTACACAGTGCAGCAGCTGCTCCAGACACATCAGTCCCGTCCACGTCAGTGTCTTCCACTTCAGCGCCAGCCAGAGCAGGTCCTTGGACTTCAGTCACCCCACTGCATGGTACCCCATACATTGCTCCAAATTCCCCACACGTATATCCTACCCAGCATGCTGACCCTAATTGGACACTGCCCCGATGCATGCATGACGTTGTTACCCCACCCACCCAGTTACCACCTGCTTTTCTGGGCACTAGTTCGACCGCGACCATGAGTACACATGATGCAGTTCTCACTGACATCTCCCACGTTGAGGATGAGGCCCATATTGAGCCCCCCCAGAGCGTGAGAGAGAGGCCGAGGTTATGGTCGTGGCGGACGTCGCAGCCGAGGTCGGGGGGCGGACGTCGCGGCCGAGGTCGGGGTGCGGACAGAGGCAGAGGTTGAGGTCCAGCTACAAATCATGATACAGTTGCACCAGATGAGGGAGTTTCACAGCTCACAGCAGTATTCGATCTTCAGCCAGAGACAGGATCAGGGGCAGCATATGTAGGAGAGGGGGGGTCAGACTCACAGCCTTCACAGGCAGTCAGTGGAGGGCCACATGCAGGGAAGGGAGTGCCAGATATTCAGAGAGTCTACAGCAGGAGACCGAGGAGGGAGGTCCACGGTCGGGGTTGTGGGACTGGGGGCAGGTTAGGGCATTAGCGGATGTGATATGGAGTGTATAGTTTTTTTTTTATTTGTAGTAATTGTTATAGTTTTTGTATATCAAACTTGTACAGATGATGTAAATGTGTCATACTTATTTATTCAAAAATATAATTTCATAATTTTTTATTCTTACTTATTTTGATGAATCACACAAATCTCTTTCACATCTCTATCTCTCTCTCATTCTCCGTAGTCTCTGCATTATTTATAGTAATTTACATTTTTTCCTCAAATTTATAAATTGAGACAACCATTTAAAAATCAAAAAAATTATCAAACAAGTTTTCATGATAGTTTTTAAAATTTGGTAAAAATGTCTTCAAATTAACAAATAATTAAATAAGTTATCAACGTAAAAAATGACTTATCAAAAGATTTTTAAGCTATGTATGGTTTGATTTTTAGAATTTTTTTCAAAAAATTTAAAATTAATTTGGTTAAGAAATAAAAAATAAAAAATCATTATAATTTAAGGGTAAAAAATAATTATCATTTTATCTTTTGGGCAGGTTATATATATATGTATGGTTGTTTCAATTTAATTTATAAAAAATTATTTCTAACCACTCGAAAAAAAAATTATATAAAAATTATTTTTATTTACAAAAATTATAAAAATTATATAGTTGATTATTATTTGCTATTATAAATTATTATTATATATATTTAATATTGGTCTCAAATTTATAAGAGAAAATTTATATATATTAAAAAAATGTGAGTGTGGTGGGTGTGTGTGTATGTGTCAGAGAGAGAGAGAGAGAGAGAGAGAGAGTGTGTGTGTGTGTGTGTGTCAGTGTGAGAATGAAAATGAAGAGTGAGTGCAATAGTGAAAACGTGTTTTCAAAACATGTTTTTATGATTTCATTAAAAGCACGGTTCCTAATCACATTTTCTGGAAAATTTTTTTTTATCAAATTTATTTTTTAGGGTTTAGGATTTATTTTTTTTATAAAATTGAAGTTAAAATAAATTTTAAGAATTAAACTATAAATCCTAAACCCTAAAATAAAAATAAATAAATTTTAAGAATTAAACCCTAAACCCTAAAATAAAAAAAATAAATTTTATCTGTAAATACTAAGGTAGCGTTTGGTAACGTTTACGTTTTTGGTTTATGTTTACCAAAATTTTATAAACTGATTTTTGTTTATTTTTAGAAAAATATAAATTACAAACGCGTTTGGTTTGAACAAAATGTTTAAAAAAATTTAAAAACATAAAATAAAAAATATGTTTGTTCAAGCTTAAAATATTTATATTTATTTTTATTATTTATAACAATAGGATCATACACATTATAATTGAAAAAAAAAATTATTTAAAAAAATTAATTGAAAAACAATAATTTATTAGTCAAATTTTTAAATTTCTGTTTAAAAACCAACATAAAATCATTTTTTGAGTTTACGTTTTTTCCTTAAATTTATAAACTGAGACAACTATTTATAAACTAAAAAATTATCAAACAAGTTTTTATGACAGTTTTTTAAATTTTTGTAAATATGAACTGAAAACTGAAAACGGAATGGTTACCAAACAGGCCCGGTTACCGTGTTTTTTATTTTAATTTTCAAAAAATTTAAAGTTAAAGAAAAATAAATAAAATAAAAACCTCACCAAATGAACCCTAAGATTTAGGGTTCAAATTAAAATATTTGAAGTTACCAACTCTCTAGGATCAAAATTAAGAGGTCAAATAGCAGGCTCCCTATCTACTATAGAAACAAAAAATTTAATAGAGAAAAGAAGAAAAAAAAATAGAGAAAAAATTGATCCCAATATGAATACAACAAATCAAGTACCAAGAGCACATGAAAATAAATAAATATATAATAAACATTCTAAATGTGGTAATGATCCAATAATTTATCTTCTGTCGCTATAGATAATTTCTTCCCACATAGTAACGTTTTGTGTTGAGAATCCCAACTTCTGGAATGTGTGCAATTTTTCAATAATTCCCACCTTCTAAGTCTCTGTTTAGGCTCGAAATCAATCCATCAAAAATATTAATCAAATAAAGAGATTTAAGGTTGGTTAGA